TTATTATATTTATTATATATTCTTTATTAAATTCTTTAACTTCACAAAAAGAGTGACCAGGCTGGCAGGGAAGGATTGAAAGCAATAATTTCTGTTTTCATTTTTCTTTTGATTCCTCACATTTTTCAGCAGTGCTAAGTTATAATAGTATGTGAAATGCTGCGGTTTCTGATCTGCAGCTCTCTTCTATGGTGGAAATCCACACTGTGCCTAATGATCACATATGTCAGGGCAGCAGTTTCTGGCAATTACTGTAACTGGAACATCAGGCCCATACTAGCTCATGAATTTGTACCATCTTTTGTTTACACAAATGTATTTTATGTGATAAAAACTTGTTCACCGTCAAGGAAACGGTCATCAGTTTGCTTTTAAAAAAAAATTTAAGGGTTTACATTGCTTTTACTTTTTTATATTCTATTGCATTTCATTTGACATTTTCCCTATCCTTACAGGTTTGAAATTTAGCTAGGTCCAATTTCTGAGGACATAAGGAAAAGCTTTTAAAAGTACTAAATCTAATATGTAGTTAGAAAGCAAGTGAGCTTTTATTTTACTACTTCGCTCTTCTGGCATTGTTACTGCTTTAACAAAAAATCAAAGTTGTGAATCTCCTTTTTAGAATCTTTAGTGTTTCTTCTGGTCATCTTGTTGCTGTCTTTAATCGCTAATTAAAATTAAAATGTATTCATGTTGCACAGGTTACTCTGACCATTTCCTTCTGTTTATAAACAATGTCAGGACGGTTGGTTTGAAGTCTCAGAATGATTGCCCATACAGTCTGTGAATGCTAATGGTTCAGTTTAGTTGTAGTTTCTCCTGCACACCTGTGATTTGAAGTGGAGTCTGGCTGTAGAACTTCATTGCACACTGTGGTAGATTTCTTTGGGTTGACCTGGGATAGATAACCAGACTAAAAGATTGTTGAAGAAACGTAGTCACTGGCCTCTCTGAGAAAACAAGTTTTGTGTTAGTCAGAACCTCTTGCTGTTCTCACAAGGATAGTTCCATTCATTAGAGCAGAGATTACTTGTAGAGCTGGTATCAGGCTTTTTCACACTTGGCTGATGATTTCAGCCTTCATTGCTTCTAAATCTCATTTTTTTCCAAATATCTACTTGTTTTTCCTATACTGTCCCTTAGAAGGTTAGTACTATTAAAGGGGGGGAAATACCCAAAACATCCTCTCTAAATGCTGCTGCATTTCTCTGTTGTGAAGCCCACAAGGTGCTTCAGAAGCATCAGACAGATGCTGTGACCTGTTGCTCTCACAACCTTTGTGTCATTGCTGCCTTGTGCTCCCTTCCTTGTGTTGTTTTCTTGTTGTGGTCTCAAATGTGGCCTGAGGATGTCATATTACTGTTAGCACATAGGATCTCTGAAACGTTTACATAAGACTAAGTTTAAGTTAAGCACCAGAGTGTTACAAATAATAATTGTATGGGTAAAATAAGCAGGACTTGACTTATGCAAACTTGTACCCTGGAATTTTCTCTGAGACCATTGGTATTCATTTGTGTATTCAAATGTTTAATAACCAAATTCCCTTATAATATCCTTATTTGGTCCATGCAGAGTTCTGGTTGGGCTCTCTTTTGGCACTGCCTGTATCTGCAGTTGTTTCTGGCACAGGGAAATTTTTGTGACTTCAGTGCTAGACCTAAAGAGTGCGTGCAGCATGTGCAGAGGGTGGCACCAGTCTGAACTGCAACATCCTGGCTCCTTTAGTGTTGTGGCTGCCCTTCCTCACAGTCGTTCTTTGCCTCACTTCTTCCTTTTTTCCCTCTCTTTCTTTCCTTGCTGTCCCTGACAGAATGGCTTTGAGCCTCTCTTTGTGTTTGAGATTGACAATAACACCAATACCATTAAAAGGAGGCCAAGCGCTCACAAACAGGTGAAGAGCATGTGGTGTGTTGGTGTTGTGATTGCCCCTCCCTGTGCTGTGTTCCCTTCCCTCTGCTCACTGCTGGGTTTTGTGCATAGTGACCACTTCTTGTTAGTCTGTGTCAAGCTTGCCCTGCTCTTTTCCTGCAGGAATAAGCGGCCGTTACAGCCCACCTAGTTCTGGATTGTTTTAGTGTTCTCATGTGCTAGCTAATGTGTTGTCTAAGTCAAGTGATATTTGAAACTCTTAAAAAATAAAAAAATCCCCACCATTTTGGCTCTACCCTGCTCTGGAGAAAAGAGGAAGTCTTGAGGATCAGCTCTAAGTCTGTACAGGTCCTAAAAACATTTGTGTTTAAGGCTTGCCATGAGTGTAAACTTTCCCTTCTAGTCGTTCTGGCTGTGCTCTTCTGAAGTGGCAGAATAGTTGCAAATGTTTTAAAAACTAATTCCTACATGTCTTTCACTCCCTGTAGTGTTTCTAGGTGTCATTTGATGTTCTTTCCTGTGCTGAAATGTCACTTTGCTGTTTGAGTGCTGTTTCTGAAAGCATAGTGAGCCATTCAGTCCTCAAATGTTAAAGTTTTGATGGTGCTATCAGCGGGACATAGGATTTGGCCTTCTAGATCCACCTGTCAGTGACAAATAGGCACAACTGCAGCCCCTGTTCTATAAACAGGAAAAGTTGTTTATTTGGCTGGTTTTGATATTGGTCATAATTGAAATGTGACTGCACTTTATTTGTGGCAACACTGTAAATTCTGGCACTGACATCTTCCCCAAGAGTGAGATTCTCCCCACAGAATCTCATTTACTTTGTGTGTAATCACAAGGACCAGTTGTGTTTGTGGCAGATACAAAGTGGGTATTACTGAGCCTCTTGAATGTGGGTTTCTCTGATTTTTCAGACATGCATAGCATCCTCAAAACATTAAAAAAGAATTCATTTATTTATTTTTAATGGTGGCCTAGAATGAACTGTTGTAGGGTAAAATTCCTTTTTTTTCTGATGGCATAGGTGTTACTAAAGAAGCTTTTGCCTCAGTTACTGTTCTTAATTCTGTTTTTAATGTCACTGTATTATATGTAAAAGAAGCACTGTACCTCCCAGAAAGTTCAGGGGGGTAGGAAAGCTTTAACTATAGTTCAGCAAGCATTTATATGTGTTGCTTGTTGAGTGTTTCTGAGAAGTGATCGTGATCACCTCTTAATTTTTAGCTTCGCTGCATTCCACCTTTGTGTACGACCTGTCAGCTACTCACTAACTCTGCTACTGCCTTCTGTTTCTTTCTGCATTCAGTCACTTTCAGGGTTGAACCAAGAAAGCTGTGCTACTACCCTGCCTAGTGCCTCTACCTTCAGTCCTGTCAAGGTATCTCTTGCTATTATCATTCACCACTAGAGCCAACAAAAAAATCTCGGATCCACTCATCGGTTTTAGCAGGTGTTAGTCTGTCAGCATCTAATCAGAAGTTCAGGTAGGGTATGAACCTGATTCACCTGATTAAGCTGTAGTAGGTATTACCTCATCTTAGCTTTAGGCTGTGTCTATAGGAGGCCTGATCTATAAAACATGGTAACAGTCTCTGCTCTAAGGGATTCTTGGTTGTCTTTGATGTTGCTTTTTCTGTACAAGATTATTTACTCTTGATGAAGTTGAGTTCATCGAAAGTACACTTGTATTATTTTCCTGTTTCTTTCTTCTCTGTGGAAACTGCTGTGCTGAATGCATTCCTCACAAGAAATCATTAGTCTGTGTAAACACTGTGATGAAGCCACAGTGTGTTTCACTGGGGACAGATGTTCAGTAAATAGCAGTTCTGCATTAGCAAAGGTGTCAGAGGAGTATCCTTGTTGGGGCTGCTGTATTGTCAATTCTGCATGTTGCTTAATACCTGTTTTTTGGTGTCCCCTTTCACTTCAGGTTAGAAGGAAGAGTTAAGAATGATCTGGCATTGCATAGTCAGTGTTGTTTCATCTTTCTTTTTCCTAAGGAAAAAAAAGCAGTTGTGTCATTTCTGTAAAAGAAAAATACTTTGTCTCTGCAGGGATAAGACTTGGGTCAGCATACAGTGTTTTTTCTTATTTCTCTGAAACACATTTAGATGGTTGGAGCTTTTCTTAAAACACAGCAAATTAAAATACAGTCAAAGTCTTTCTAGATTAGGACCATTCATACTCTTCTGCTTTTTTGTTCACAGAGTGATGACAGATCTACCATCTCCCCTGGCTCACCTACTGCTCAGACAGGTAACAGGGACAGGAAAAAAATTCTGAAAAATAAGATCAAAATGCCTGCTTGCTTATTTGTCCTATGAAGAGAGGGGAGCATCTGTTCCTACCTCTATGGCACTGCTGTGTGCAAGAATTTACCCAGTTACTTGGGCCTCCTTAGAAAAAAACACAAGGGAAGAGACAACAGGGGTGAAGCATATCCTTAGGCAGAGCATAGGGTTTGGCTGGTTTAGGCCTTCATAGAGGCTTTGGCACACAGATGCATTCAGCAAGAGTCAGAACAGTTGTTGGAATTAGTATGTGGAATGTGCTTTGCATGCAAGTGTCCTTGGAAGTGCCTTTTCCTGCTCTGCTTTTATCATGCACGGCTGTAATTTGTTTTGTCATCATTGCATTAAAATTTTTTGTTTGTTCTTTTTAATTACCACATTGCTGTACCCATTTCCTATTTAAACTCTAACCATTTCCTTCTTCCTCCTTCCTTTCCTGTGCCTTTCCATATTTGTTTAGTCCACCTTTCCCCTCCATATCCTGGCCATGCAGCCCCGCCTTCCTATAGAAACCCTTCCCAGCGACCTGAGAGTTTCCTTTTCCGAACAGCTGTCAGGGATGAAGCCAAGAAAGGTAGGTTATATAGCTCAGAAATTAGCTAGTTTTGCTACATTATAATGACATCTGCATTACCTAGGGCTTGCAGTGTTTTGTTACTTCAGGTCTTTATCATCAAACTACTTTTTCCATTTGTAGATAGATGACATCATATATGTTGTGAACAAACAGAGTTTTATTTGGAGACGTCCAATATTCTTTTGCCACATCTGTGGAAGTGTGAGAATTCGCTCATCCCGGTCTGCACTTAGACCTTTGCCACACTAGCCTTCAACGACTTGATAATTCTTGCATTGCCCAGTAGCCTGTAACAGAATTGGAATTTCTGGAGAAAGACAGAACCATTTCAACACACTCCATATGGCAAAACTTTGTTGTCATTTGTGCATGACTATTATCCAACAGAAAGATCAGAATCTAAACAGTGAAGGAATTGTGTTCACATCTCATTTAGGTTGGTAGACCATTAGTTTGATTAATAATCAAAGGTAAGAAAAAGGCATGTAATGCCCCCATTCTGGAACTTTGTGTGCAGTAGCAAACAACACAGAGCCAAACTGTGCTTAGTGATTTTCTTTCCTTCATGCTGCTGTTTTAGCCATTGCTTCATCCTCTACCTGTGCCTTGTCTCCTGCTAATGATTCTGCAGACCCTCGAGTGAGACAAAATTCCAAACAGCGGGAGGAAGAACTGGAGCTGATAGAGCAGCTACGCAAGGTAAGGGGCTGCAGGAGCCAGAACGTAGATATAGCAGGAAATGCATTTTGTGACCTTGCTAAATCTGCTAAAAGTTGTCTTATGGACCACTTTCACTGAACCAATACAGGGCACAACTGACCAAAATTAAACAGTGTGGTACAGTCTATGTACTTCTTTCAGATGGGTGCAGTGGTGTTCATTTGGTTGTTTGTGGTAGATAAAGTCAGCTTCAACTTCTGTATAAAAAACTATGTCAACTCCTGCTCATGAATGTCTGGTGAACTCTGTTTTTATGTGTGTTTCCTTTCTTCCTTATCAGCTTTCAGTAAGGAGCTCCCTGGAAAGTTGCCTTTACTGTCCCCTTTTAATATATTTTTTAAAATTCTTTTTTGCTATGAAACTGACAGAAAAGCAGATGGAGTGCAGAGACTGCTGCCAGTCATGCTTCCATCATGGTTTCCTCGTGTGTTCTAGATCTGTCTGTTGATTCTTGCCTTATCCTGAGTTAAGTGCAGAACATTTGAGCCACAAATGTTTCTAATATTTATGCTTTTTTTCTGCCCATGGGCAAGACACTCCTGGTTTTTGTCCAGGTACAATGACAATAAACAGGAATATTGGAAATGCTACATGGCATTAAGGTACTGCTCTGCTTTGCCCCAGACTTGTTTCTGCAGAGCATGAAGGGATTTCTTGAGGTGGTATAATTAATTATTTGAATTTTCCAAGTAAAAAGAATATACTTGTTGAAACTAATCTCAAAAGCCATAAGCATCCAAGATAGAGAAAATTCCCTCTCTTTGGGAGGAAGTGTTGAAGTAAGGACAGTCTCCTTTCTCTAAAGGAGAAAGATTACTTGGTGATGTTTGCAAACCTCTCTTATGTTATCTTAGACTGTTTTCTATGTAGTCTGTCTCTTGTTCTGCTCCCCAGGTAAGCTTTATTGTTTTTATAATTCTTAAAAAATTAGATACAGTATTACAACTTGGTGACATTCACACAGCATTTCAAATTAGTTTGAAAGCTTGAATTGAATTTCTATTCATTCTCTTAAAAAAATGCTAGCTAGCTTCTTTTCACAGGACTGCTTATGCTGAATAGTTCAGTTTTTATTTAAAGGCAAAAATATTGTCTTGACTTTTGTTAATTGTATTGTCCTCCAACCCACAAAGACAATTATTTTCACTTCTCTTGGCAGAACCATTCTCTGAGAATATGTAGGGTTAGGAATACTGTTCCTAGATCCTGATTTCCATTATTTTTGAATAATGGTTGTATTAGTACTGTGCTTGTACAATGAAAACTGTTCTTTGTTGAACTCAATTGCTCCCAGACTGTGGCCAGCCTTGGGCCACAGTAATGCGCAGGGCTTTCCTTGGGCTTATTCAGAAAGCTGGTTGGAAATGCCATGAGGACAGACAGAGTTGTGATGCAGGAACTCTGCCCCATACAAGCTTCTGCAGAATGCCCCAGCTGGAAGAATGCAGCTCTCAGCTCCCCTGTGTGTGTCCCTGTTGGTTTCCCACAGAACATCGAGTCGCGGTTGAAGGTGTCACTGCCCAGCGACCTCGGGGCGGCTCTCACTGACGGCGTCGTTCTGTGCCACCTGGCCAACCACGTGCGGCCCCGCTCTGTCCCCAGCATCCACGTGCCCTCACCTGCTGTTGTAAGTGTGTAACACTGACACTACTTCAGAGCTGTCCAAAGTGACATCCTACACAGTCCTGTAATCCAGGCAGACACTAAACTCAGTATTCTCAGTGAATGTACGTGACAAAAAATAACCATCTGTGCTGTTTAAAAAAGGTCTGCAGTGTCACTAAATGAAATTCTGTCTGGCTTTGTTTCATTTAAAGGACGTTACTTCTAACAGCTTTTAAGCAAATGTTAACATTTTCATGTACTACCTAAGCACGTTAACTTCAAAACCAGTGAAATACAAGACAGTTCACCATGAAAACCGAAACAGGGTATTTTAAAAGATGAAAATGTCTGAGAAGTTCAGGAAAACATAGCAGGGAATTACAAGTAGGATCCCACTATGAAAGACAGTGAAACCAGGCAGAGACCAAGTTGATTCCTGTGTCCACTTCATAGCATTACAAATTCCTCTGCTTAGGAATTTTAGCAGAACACACTCAAGATACTTGGAAAACTGCATCTCCTGGAACAAAACAAATCTTGTCATACCTTTGTGATAACAGGAGAAAAAGGTGGCTGTGTCAGGGGACTGTTGAGAGCAGGGAAGTATTGCAGTCTATTTTGTAGGGAAAGCACAGAGTTAGAGAACAGTCAATATCTGTGAGATAACAACAGATTATTTATCCAGTTTGTGTTTGTGGAAGTCAGAAAGTTCAATGAAAATGTTTTAGATCAGCTACTTGAAAGTAATATGGACAGGCAGATTGCTTGTTATGCACCTTTAAATTGTGTGAATAAGGGAAAAAAACCAGATTGTTCCTTGGGGAAGAAGTTGAAACATGCACATGGTCTTCACTTACTCTTTGTTTGAAGTGAGTCTTCATGTTGGTTGGAATCTGAAGTGGCACTTTCAGGGCTGAGAAGTGTGTCATTGTGGTTGTGTCCCTGGGACTTGATGTGACCAGGCAGATGGCCCCATTATTTTGAGAACGACTGAACTGGACACACCAACGTTCTAGGCAGACTGGGATCATTCCAAGCAAAGGCCAGGAGCCACTGCTCAGGAGACTTGTGTCAGTGAGATCTTTTCAATGGCCTGGTTTGATGTGCAGCTGAATGTTCTGTGTTAAATCACGGCTTTGTCATGTGAATCCCAAGGAAGAGGCAGCCTGGAGTCACATGACTCCTGGAGCAGAAGAGGCCATCACATCCTGCCCCAGGCGCAGTGTGATCTTTGTACTCCCTTGCACCTCTGGGAGAAAGAAGCCAGTGCTGGCCTTTAACCTGCTTCTTGGTGGGGAAACACAGCACATGAAGGGGACAGAAGAAACCCCATCACTTACAGAAGTGTTGAATACCTGGAGGCTGCTGCCTGGTGCTCCAAAGCATGTTCACAGGAGAAGGGAGTTAGTGTCTCTTGAACCAGAAGAGAATAAGCTTTGAGAGCGGGCAAGACAGAGCCTGTGCTGTGGTATGTCTGAAGAGCTGTGAAAGCTGCAGAAAAAAACCTTAGTAGAAAAAATGCCAATGAGTACAATTCAGACAGCTCTATTAAACACATCTACAAGAGGCTGGCAAGCAGTAAGCTTCACTTTCAGTCTTCTGACATTATTTTTTGGTTTAATTTAGCCTTTATTTTTTTACCTCTTTGTTAATTGAGCTATGGTTTGATATTTATATAGTTTTGCATTATAGTAATCAAGAACAGACTCTAGAATGCTTCATGTCTTGAAATTGCTCTGAAATCACAGCATGGAAGCCATGGATGTGCATTTCATAAAAGACTTTTTTTAATGATTGTACTATAACCACTAGAAGTGTTAGCCAGTTTTATGTAACACTGTGTATATAAATATTGAACTTAGAACTGTCCTTTTTTTAAAATCATCCAGCATTCATAACTTAGCTTTTCATAAAACAGCTTTGAAAACTGGGATGGTTTTCTAAGAAAAGCAAACTTCAGCAGAGCCTGCTTTGAATTAGATGAGCTTATGTCAGCGCAGTGTTTTTGGCAAAGAGATTTATTAAGAGTTTTATTTAAATAAAAAAATCAAAACCTTTTAAAATGTTGCCAGTTAAGAACACTGTATGCCTTTGCTCCTTTGCAGCCTAAACTTACAATGGCAAAGTGCAGACGAAACGTGGAGAATTTCTTGGAAGCTTGCAGAAGGATTGGAGTGCCTCAGGTATGTATTTCTGCTGTCCTGATAAAATGTTCCAAATGCAGTTTTGCCTGGTGCTTCAGAAAATAAAGCATTCTTTGGAATATTAGATTAAAACAAAATGATTAAAAGTTTAGAAGGTTCAGGTACAAGCTGTCCTGCAGTATAGATCAGACTTACCTTGCATGGTCTTCCAGAGCAAAATGAAGCCAGATACAGTTTATCAGAGTATAGTTGATAGAATTTATATTTTAGTACAGATTCACTTAAATACTGTGCATCAAATTCATAATAGCTGATGGACTTCAAGTCTGCCTTTAGAACTGGCAGTTACATCTTCTCAATATTAGGTATGTGAAAACTTCAAAGTGGGATAAAATCTGGATGGTGGTTTGCATGTGTTTTTTTTTTTTATCCCAAAGCTTTTCATGTTCCTTCACAATAATTCTCTTACATGAATGTCTCTTCCATCTTACCAGCAAGTCTCAGAATTATTTGCCTTTCTCTGATGGTAGCTGTCTTTGCATAGTTCCTACTTCTTTTGTTATGTACTGGTGGTAAAAAGTCTGTCTTCCTTGTCCCCTTTGGAAACTTGTAAGATCTAGGAGGTGGACACATATTAGAGTCCATCTTTATCCTGTTGGTCTGGTTATCCTGTTTTATGCTGTCCTGTCCTTTGCACTTTGTCTTATTCAGCAGCTGTCTCAGTACAAGTAGATTTAATACATTATATTTTTCTTAATTTCCCTTCCAGTGCACTAATTGATTTGGGTTTTTACATTGCTGAGCATTGGTGTTTCTGTTGTAGGTGCTGTTTTTTTTGTATTCTGAAAGGGAGGAGTAGACCCTGTGACTCATTTCCCAGCTACATCTAAAGGCAGTTCTTAAGTCAGTCATGTAGAATTTTCTGGTGTTTTCAGATCACTTGCAGACATTTGAGCCACTGGGGTTTTAGGATAACTTACTTATTGAGCTGCCTGGCAATTTCACGTGGCTCTGTGGTGAATCATGTTAGAAGGGGCTGGGGAGTTGTAAGTGATCATTAATGCTGGAAGATCCTGCACTGCTTTGGTCCTCTAAAAATATTTGGACTTTCAGTCCCAGCAGAACTGCACAATATAAATTCATTTGGGGCATTGTGCAATTCCATCCCAGCTTCCCTATTTATAGCTCCCTCAAGTATGAAGATAAAATTTTTATGGGATTGCAGTACAAAGAAGATCACTGGAATGACCCACAATCAAAACCATACACAAAGGCCAATCAAGAAAAAGTCCCCTGTAAACCCAGGCTGCTCAATCTGCTACCCCTACTGTGTAGGGCTCTACACAGTTTTCTCATATATCTTGTTTTAATGTGAAAGAGTTCAAGGAAGGTCTGTCTGGGAAAACTTAGGAAAGTACCCTCCCTGAACTCCAAAGCTGCTCTCATATGTCTGCATTACATTTCTGTTGAGATGTGAACATAAGATACTTGCATGTAAGAGTGGCATGGCAGCCTGGTATGTTTTTCTTGAAAAATTGCCTGCAGGTTTTTCATTTAATTTCCATTCTAATTGCAAAAATAATAGGATTTCTGAAAGCATAGATCCATGTAGGAATACTTGCCTTTTAAGGGGAAGGCTACTTTTAGAAAGGGCTAATTACAGGCACCACAACAGAGCATCAATTTGTGTAGGACTGGTGATTTTAAAGCCCTTGGATCAAAGGAAACCCTGAACAGCTGAACAGCTTGACCCATGCATCTAGATTTCACTGATTATTAGCAGTTACCTGTGGGAAAGGGACACAAGAGACACACAATGGGAATAGTTACAGAACTCTTAAACTCTAATTAGTAATAGATATTTCTGCAGAATGCTGCATTCAAACATCAGTTACACATAAATAATCTCTTGTCCTGCTGTTTTCCTTAAGTTACATGTGGAGGCTGAACTTTGGTGAGTACTCAATGCCAGCAACATCTCAGATAGCCGTAACATCTTCACTTCTAGAGAAAAATGGGTTTCACTAAGGCTTGTGTAAACCACTGTTTTTAACAACAAGGAGTAGTTACATGTTGGAGTTGGAGAGGTGACAGGCACCTCACTGAACACTAAACACTGACACTGAGGTCTTTGCAATGAGAGTCTTGCAGATTTCTATGTGAAAATTAACCAGCTGTGATGTGCTTCTCAAATGTGTAGGTTGTATCTGAGATGTCTGATAACTGCTTCGTGGATGTTGCTATGGCTAACTGACTGACTTTTTTTTCTGTCTGTTTTCCCTTCCCGCTCACACACTCTGGACAGGACAATCTTTGTTCCCCTTCTGACATTCTCCAGCTAAACCTCAGCGTTAAAAGAACAGTTGAGACTCTTCTTTCCCTGGGGACAGATTCAGAAGAATCCAGTCTCGTGTCTCTTTCCGTTCAGCTCTGGGGCTTTGTGGTGTTTTACTGTACTCTAATGCTAACGCTCTGTATGTTCTATCGCTGGGTCTTTTTTCTCTAGTGAAGGATAGTGGTGCTGCTTCCTCCCTTCATCACTCCAGTGCTTGGGAACAGATTCTGGGCTTTGCCAAGACTGTGTGTATGAAGTGCTTTGTTTCCCACGGATGGGACAGAGGTGACAAGTACGATGTGGAAACATGTTGGTGCACCCACACCACCATCCGTGACCCAATTCCCATTTGTATTTGCTGTGTTACATTGAGCAGATGAAATGCTTTCCAAGGGAGGAGGTGCTGTCCCTGGGCTCAAGTGAGGGCTGAGGTCAGGACACGTGGTGCATGCTGTAGTCTGCTGACCAGTGGTGTAGTGAAAACTGCAGTGTCAATTTGTGCCTCTGTTCCCCCATCTGTATAATGGGAAATGCAACCACTTTGGTAGATTGCCTGAGGATTATCTGATGAAAAATGTTAACAATGTGAAGTATTTTTTTCAATGTCAGTGTTCTTGATGCAATCTCACAGTCTTAGGAGACATGGTCTGGTATTGTCCACAGAGCTTTCTAACTGGTTTGTTTTTTTATCCCCAGTCCTTTATCCTGCTTCTGAGCACATTTGATTTCTCAGATTTATAGACTCTGCTGTATTACTTTGAGTCAGGATTTTTTAGAACAACTGTCAATGAATCCTGAACTACTTGAACTTGATAGCAGTTCAAGCAGAAAAATTTCAGAGAAATTGAGCTCTTCAACAGCTTTAAGAGAAAAGTGTTCCGGAACAGAAAGAAAAATCTTTATGATCTTGTCAGGTGCTACAGAATGTCATAGCATTTTACTGTGATCTGGATAAAACTTACCAAAAATGTGTTGAATTGTCACTTGATCTTGGGAACCCCAACCCAAGCTTGTTCCATGCTTAGTCCCTTCTTTCTCTTATCCTGTCATTTTCAGAAACACTTGTATCATGCAGTTGCACAAATAAAAGTCTTGGCTGCACAAGCACACTTCACTGTTTTACAAAACTCAGGTAGTCTTCCATAAAGCTTCACAGCCTTTCCCTCCCCAGGGAAAACATCCTGGTGCTTTAATGCTTTAATGTCTCAGGGACACCTCAGAACTTCAGGGCACTCCCCATGTGTGTAACAGACCATGTCTCCTCAGAGTGGAGATCCATTCAGGGAGCTCTGCTCAGAGACCAGTGACAGGTAAGTGTTCAGGAGATGGCTGTTCCAAATGTGTCTTCAATAAAATTCTGTTATATCTGCAAGTGCAGTAAATGGCTTGGAAGCCCAGTACAAGTGATGCTGGCATTCCAGCCATAACATGGAACACCTCTGAAGCACAGTTTAAGGTACACAGGAGTTCAGTTGAAAATGGGGTCACTACCAGTAAAAATGTGTTATCTGTATGTGGGTCTCACAAGCTCTTGTACCATGAAGTGAGTATTTATCAAAGGAGCAAGTAAGAGCTGCTGCCTTCTGTCCAAGTCACACAAAATGTTCTGTCCAAGCCAAACATCACTGAGTAAAGAAGGGACTTTTGACAGAGGGAGATTGTTTTATTTTTAAGTAAGCTATTTTTGTACTGTTTACTGGTATGAACTAAAATGAACTCGGTTCCTGTGTTTCTTAACTTCTAATGAACACTGTGATAAAAGCTGCAAGGGGTTTTACACTGACAGTGCCTTCCAGTTTTTAAATTTTGTTTGTCATTACTGTGTGTGGTATGGAGTCATTCCAAAGCTTTTCCCGCTTATCTGTTTGCATACATAAGAAAAAAGATAAGGCATATTTCCTCAAGTTTACAAGTATTGTCTCAAAAAGCACACTTTTTCAAAGTAATATACATTTGCTGGAAGAAAAATGTATTTTAGCCTGAGCATATGGCTTTCTATGAGAATTGCAGTCGGGGCTCGCTTATTTTCTCTCTGCTCAGAGCTTTGCGGGGGAGGAGTGTTGGCTGCCACTGTTTGTGCTGAAGGATTTCTTTAACCTCAAGAATCAGTAAATACTCAAGTGGTGAAATGCCAATGGATGTGAAAGTAACACATGAAAGAGTCTCTGTAGCTCTTTAGGAAGGACACACTTGGGTTGTTTTCTGCAGATACAGAGAACTGTTGGACATGTATCCTGACCGTTGTAGAGTGAGGATGGCCAGGAGGTGCCAAGGACTTCTGTAGGATGAGGCTTTAACTACATCTTAGACTGAGAATAGCACAAGTATTAATAAACAGTTTGAAACCTCTTTTTGCATGTTGCGTATTACTGTTAATCCTCAGGATGATTTTGGGGGTCACCTGCTAAGCGCTTTGGGGAGGTGAGTGAGTGGTAGTGAGTCATTCCCTGCTCCCCACCAGGGTTTCCTCATGGCTGTAGCTGAACAGGCTTGTCCCAGGAGGACTTTCTCCAAAAGGTGTGATTTAGAAAGGAAGCTGTGATTCCTCTCCTGCTCCATGTTGTAGCACATTGATCGTATTGAAGCAAAGCTTCCCCCTCCTCAAGTTCATCTACTTTGGTTTCATAAACCACTGCCATCTCAGTGTGGGCAGAGATGGAGGACAATTTGCTATTCCTCTTTTCTCCCACAATCCTTTTTCAAATTCTTATTTGTAGAGTTTTCTATTAAAAGAACACAAGAGATTAGCCCAAGGCCACCTTTCTTGAGCAGTCAAGGTCATGGTTCCTTTGTCACAAGCAGAAGTCTCATGTCCTACCCCTGTATGTGTGTGCTGCCTGTCCATAACATTTCATATTTCAGCCACCTTTTGCTTAATTTTTTTTTTCTTTTCAGTTGAGTGGTTTTCATCCATTTTGTTTTTGTCTTTGTTTTGTTCCCCATTCAGGAGCAATTATGTTTGCCTCTGCATATTTTAGAAGAGAAGGGTTTGACACAGGTAGCTGTGACTGTCCAGGCGCTCCTGGAGCTGGCACCCCCAAAGCAGCAGCCACTTCACCACTTGTCTGCTGTGTAAAGACCTCCGGGACCTTTTGGGTTACCTTGGCTAAGCAGAAGGACCTGAAGACTTTACTGCCCATGCAGTGCATCCAAACACACAGAGCTCTGTTCTAAGGAAATGAGTTTCCATGATTCCTGACAGGAATGTTTTACTTCATTTCTCCATTTTTTTGGAGATCACAACAGTTTCCAGTAACTTTTTTTATTACTAATATTTTTGCCCCTTATTTAAAAAAATGAGAGTTCACTGGGAGGAGGGCAGGGAATTCCAGTGGCTGGCTATTTGGAGCTAGTTGTGGAAACTGACCTTGCAGATGAAGAAATGGGTTAGAGTTTGGAAAGCAATTCCTAGAGAAATTTGAAAAAAAAAAAAAGGTGTTATGTAGTGGGCACACAGGGAATTAAATTTCTTTCCTTGCCCACAGGGTGCAAAGAAATGGAATTTCTTTGCCTCCAAAGAGTGGGTATTTCTGTTATTTTTTTTAATTGCATCACACTATCTTAACCTGCAGTGTTTGATAACAGGGTTGAACCTCACACAGCTGTCACTTGCTTTGACAGGTCCTCATTACTAAAAGTCAAAGAAAAAAAACCCCTTTTTTTTCCCCCAATGGAAAAATTACTGCCTGTTTTCTCTGCCAGAAACACCTTAGTAAAAGATACTAAGATCTGTTCAAATGGGCTTAATCCAAACAGCATTCTTGCTGGGTTCACTTTCTCTTTGGGTTTTAACATGTCTTTATCTGAACACTTCTCCAACAGCAGTGGAGGGAGATTGCCCCTGTCCTCACATCCCCTTCTGGTGGTTTTGTGGGATCACCAGAATCCTGTGCACTTCCCTGCAGTGGGAACAGTGCCAGGCTGCCCTGCTGGTCATTAGAAGCCCTTTGAGCTAAGACATTTATGAGGGGCTGAAGCATCCCCTGCAGGCACAGAATGAATCATGTTAAGAGCACGTTTCTCAAGTTGCCCAGGTGGGCTGGGTTTTGTCAGAGCAGCGTGTGCTAAGGCAGCTCTGAAGTTCTGAAGGGTTAGACAAGGCTTTCAATAGAGCCCTTTATTAAGTTGGAGCTTATGTAGAGAGATATGCTGGTTTTACAGAACTGCTATTGCTTCATTCCTCTTTCCTTAACATAAAAATGGAAATTCACTGTGCAGAAGCGGGAGAGGCAGCTGACAAGTTTTGCATTTTCCTGGAAAGCTGATGTGCAAAATAAAAACAGGTCTGTATGCTTTGGTCCCAGTGACAAGGCCAAGTTCACTACCTAGATCAATTAACAATATTTTTTTTCTCCCCCACAAAAAGGCCTCACAAAATCCAGCTTTCTACCCCTGCAGTTCCTTTGTCAGGTGTTGCCCAATTTAAAGCATCCCTGAACATTATGCTACTAATACATGGTACATGAGGGGTCTGAAAACAACTCCAGGAATCAGCCATATTCTCTCTGGGATCTATTCAAAGCAGAATACAGCGAGAGGATTTTATGCAGATAAAGGAAGAAGAAATAGGAACAAAATAGCTAAGAGTCATTTTTGCAGAAGTAAAACCTGCTGTGGGAGCTGCCAAAGACTGTTCTTAGCTGCATTTTTCCCCTTTTGATTTTGTTTCCATTCTGTTTTGCTTCATGTATTTCTTTGAAGGGCCATTGTGGTGACTGGTGAATCCCCTGTTTCTCATAATTATTCCAGTTGCTTCTTATTGGCATTGATTGGTCACATTCGAAGTGAAGAACACTTGGAAGGTGTTTAAGAGTGCCCAGCTGCAAAGAGAAACCTCCTCATGCTGGGCAAATGCAGTGCCCTGAGCCCTGCAGGGAATGGAAATGCCAGGAACTCACAGTACCCACAGGAAGAGCAGCTCCACACAGACATTCTCACCTGCTTAAGTAGTTTCTGTGTTTCACTTAATGCCATTGGTGAGGAGTGTTGGTCATTCCCACAGGGTTACACAGAGGTGTCTGAAGTGTCTGCTGCAGTTTGCTGCAGGCAACACCACAGACACAGACGGTGTTCCTGGTGTATTTGTCTCTGCACGTAATTTGGAGAGAGGGAGGCATTGACTTCATCTTAGTTTCCAACATTAGGTCACCTGTTGTTACAGGGACAGTTGCATTTAGCAGCACACCCATCACAGGCTATTTAAATACCCCTGTTTGAAGAAACCCATTCCCTTCATGGAATTGTGAGGGTGTGGCGATTGTTCCAGCGCTTAAGGAAAATGAAACTTAACAGTCAGTACTCAGGTTGGTGGAAATTTTGTCATTTGATTAACAGTAGTTTTTAATGGGGTAGGGGTTCGAGTGTGGCCTGAAAGAAAGCCATTTCCTATTGCTATGTGTGGCTCACAGTCCTGAGTGGCTTATGGCCACCTGTGGCTGGAGGCCAGGCAGGCAGAGCGCTCCTGGCACCAGGGTACTTTGTTGTGAGCAGCATTCACTCTGGCAGTTTCAGTGTAAGTAATTGTGTTCGTTTGACATTTGTAATCTTATGTTTTCAGGCTGGCAAGCACTAAATCTTGTCCAGATGCTTAGGACAAAAATCCAAACCTGAAGTTTCATCATACGGTTTATTTAATGTGTTACACCAAACCCACCTCAGTTCTCTCTTGCAAAATAGGTTGGGATTTTTCAGGGTAGTTATGTGTAATTTTTGTTGTGTCCCATGAAAAAAGTGTTTGAAAGAAAACATGTATAAAGTTCTGTTCTGTGTGTTAAAGCAAAGAAGAGACGGTCTTTCCTCTTCGGGGCATTTGTGTTGGAGGATGTGGGAGGGATCCACCTCAGCCCTGGTGCTGCTGGTGTTCCTACTCTGACTCCATGGTGTCACGCTCCATCCTCAAACCTGGTGAGCCCTGAGCAGTGTCTGAGGCTCTGCAAGGTCACACACTCCAGGTGGAGCGGCCCAGGCACTAGGGAGCCCCTAATGGCACTGGGGGGCCAGGGCAGAGCTGGGGGTCCCCCCTTTGAAGGAGAGGCCTTCTCCCCCGTAAAGGCCCCTCCCCTGCTTCAAATCCACCAGGGACAATTACGGCACCAGAGCGCCTCTGTTGTTCTTGGTAGCAGCCGGATGGCAAATGGTATTCTTATTCCTTCATGACTATAAATGGTTCTTGGAAAAACTGTTTTAGAAACAGAGGACTTGTAAGGTGAATTTGGACATCAAAAATTCTTTTGTATAGATATTGTGAAGTTCTACAAAGTGATCTAATTTTGTTATTTCTGAAAACAGTGTAAACGTGTAAGTAATAGAGTAAAGGATTTTAAAGCTTCATCCCATGCTGTATGTCTGTAAATACATTCCATAATTTCTGTTACATATAAATGTGTCTGAATATTGTATATTTTAAATTGCCTGTATTCTGCCAGTAGTGTGACCTTCTAGCACATTGATAATATAAAAGGAAACCATGGGTATTTGAAATAAAGTTTTAAAACTTACATGAATTGCAGTATTTCTTCCTGCTGTTTTTCTGTTGCACCAACAAATGTCACATCCTCTGTGTCAGGTGTTTATTCCCCTCCTACATCATCCCAGTTGGCATTTGATGGACCTACTTTGATTTTCTACTTTTCATAGTTAACCGGGACAGGAAAATCCCAGTATTTTTACACATATTTTGCAGCCACATCAGAAGCTGTTTCTTGGCGGTATTTTTAACCTTCACAGTTACCAATTTTGCACAGGATCCTTTGCTTATCCCTCCACACAGCCCCTTGTTTTTTCCTTCTCTGTATAAATTAAATACATTCTGGGTTGGGGTTTTCTGCTGCTGGTCCCATTGCTCCTTGTTCTTGTCCTTTGCTTTTGGTCTGTCTTTGGTTTGAAGTGCAAAACTCACCCTTGCTTCCTGACTGTGCTGCATATGAAAGTTTTATTCTTAGCCAGAATGTTTTCCTCTTTTCATCCCTCCTCATCACTAGTTTTAATTATTTTTTAAAATATAAAAAAGCAAAGCCTAAAAATTGCCAGAGATAAACAAACCCACACTGCTTTTGATACCCTTGTGATGCTCTTCCCTGCTCACCAGGCTGCTCCAGCATGCTTGTCTGACCTGGTTACTCTGTCAGCTCCATTCCTGCCTCTCAAGGCTGCCCAGCTCTCTTCAGGTATTTATTTCTCCCCTTTAGTTTAAAGCATCCTCCTAACCAGCTTCCCAATCCCCAGCCTTTCTTCTGCATTTAATTCCCAAGAAAACCCTCTCCAAAGGGCATATGATTTCCCTGAAGAAAATTCCATGGATGTACATTTTGATCCCATCTCTTCACAGATGGAAAAATGCAGCATTACTGACTGTGGCACAGTTCCTCAGAAGTGCTGGGTTTGACTCTATGCCATGCTGTTTGCTTGGCAGCTGCGCTGCCCAGACACGAACTCCACTGCGGTTTCCGTGGAGCGAGGGGAGGCTCGCAGAGAGCAGCGCGCTGGGATGAGCTGGATGGGTGGCACTGTGGCCACAGCCCCCAGCCCAGAGTGTGTGGCAGGTCACAGGTTACACAGCTGTGCCCCCATCACTACCCTGCAGTGGCCTCGTGGGAACCTGAGGTTCAGCACCCCAACTTCATGGGGAAGCTCTGTTCCGCTGTTGCCTCTTTCTTTCCAGAGCTACTTCATTCTCTGCTGAGAAGCAACTGCAGCCCAGTGTAAGATTTCAGTTGTTTGGTTGCATTAATAAAATGTGCCTGGAGTTTAACATAAACAGCAGAGATCTGCTGCCTTTCATCTCATCCTGCTTTTCCTTAGATCAAAGCCTCTAGAGAGTTTTATGATCAACTTCATTCCTTCCACCCAAGCAGGTCACCTGTTAACACCCCCATCACATACAGAAAGCACAAGTCTCTGGTGAGTACTGAGTCAGCAGCACATGAAAAAGAAGAGTTAAAATTAGGAACTTAAGTCCCAGGTTTGCACTGTGGCACTTCTTGCAGTGGGGTGTAAGCGCAGTCCTGGTTCTGTTCCTACCAGCACTGAGACGGAGCAATCCCTGGTCTTAGCACTGCCTGAGAAGCGTTGGAAGCAAGGGAATTTGTTCAGGTTTCAAACAAGTGTCCATGCTCCAATGGGAACACTGGCACTTTTAATGCAGTTTGTCTGGAACATCTGAAACTTCAGCACTCCCCTGACAGCCAAGTCTGCCTGATAAGGCACCAGCACCTTCTGTTCAGAGTTCTGAGCCACAGGCTCTCTGCTCATTGTTTCAGCCATCTCATGTGAACTTCAGAGCTCTTGGCCCAGTTAGGTTGGACACAAGGAGGTTTGGATGGGGCCAGCACGGGCTGATCACAGAGCAGAGCAGACTCTGTGGTTTGAGATCATCTCCCCCGTGGGAGAGTCAGAAACCAGGCAGCTCAGCCACAGGGCTTTGTGCACAGCCCTGCATGTGGACTGACAGTGGTGTGAGGAGCAGGGATTCCCTGTTGGTTGAAAAGCAGCTCTGCTCCCTGCCTTCAGCCCCATCCCGCTGTGCAGTGGTGCTGACTGGGGCAGTGGGGATGGCTGTGACAGACCAGCTCCTGTAGGCAGCTTGGCTGGCTGCCTTTTCCCTTTGTTCCCTTGGTGGTCAGAAGGTATGTGGAGCTGTTCTGTCTGTGCACTGACACTGTGCAGGACTGTGGGAATGGAAACCTGTGTGCTCTGACTGTACTTGTGTTTACACTGCAAACTGCTCGTGTTCTCCCCTGCTGACCTGATGCCAGCGCTGGAGGTGTGGAGAGCACAGAGGGAGCCCAGCTGGGGGTGCCAGGGCCGGTGCTTTGGGGGCAGCAGAGGCGGTTCTGGGTGCAGAGCATCCCATGCTGGTGAGTTATTGGGCTGGTAACAGGATTACCTCCCACTGTCTTGGTTCCATAAAGCACTTCTCAGGGGATATAGCATTTCTCACTGCTTTGATGCAAATCCCCTTTCTGCTGGGAAAAAGGCTGTACAAGGGCAGCTTTAAGATCTTAGTGCAGCTTTGCCATAACTGTGTCTGCAGGAACTGTGTCCTCCAGAATTGCCCAAGCTCTGTTACATGGTTTATTTTGTCCTGTCAGACGTACCACAGTGCCCTGCCCAGCAACAGTCCTGGAGCATATCTGTGGCCACTTTCTTATTTCTTTTTTCCAGATTTTTCCTTGCCTGTTTGTTTCTCTGCTAACTGTCCCTTCAAATATTTCTCAAGCTCCTTGTAGCGGCCGAGGAATCTGCGGACCATTGTACCTTTCCACCACGCCTGCACCTGAAAGTGAGAGAGAGAGAGAGGCTTGACGGGAAATAACTTGCTCGGGTACTTCATACAATTCAATCCCTGGAGAGTCTTTCCTGTACTCCCCAGCCACAGAAGGGAACCCCCAGCCCATGCAGCAGCCTTTGGGCCTGTGCTGGTTGTGCCAAAGGCATACACAGCTGGGCTGTGGGCACTTGTTGCTGGTGGCAAGGGACAAGCAGGGCCACTAGCCCATGACCCTCCCTGTATCACCTGTGCAGTGATATTTGCAGGAGACTGGCTGCTCCCCTTTCATTTACCATCTCAAAGCTGCAGCCAGCTGCCAGCTCTGAGTGTGCCCCAGCAAAAGGAACAAGCTTTGTCCTTTGCTTGTGCCACCACACACCAGCCAGATTCCTTGGGCTGTTTTCTGCCTGTACAAAGCCTGTGGCACAGATTATTAGCTCCCAGCTGCTGCTGGAGCAGCGCTGCCCCAGCTTTGCTCCCCTTTACCTTCACAGCACTCTTCAGCTCCAGGGCTTCCCGCTCTCTTTGTTTTCTCTTGTCCTCCTTTTCTGTCCGGTCAATGATGATGGTTGCCTGGAACATCAGGCACTGCAAGAAAGCACAGGGGTGGCAAAAGCCATGACAAAGATATTCCCTAAACTGCAAGGCCAGCCTTCAGGGCTCACTGTGTCCAGCCATTTGCCATGGCAGGGCTCACCTGGACCCTGGTGTAAGGATTCTTTCCCTCTGCTGCCGATAGGTCTCATCCTTGCTATACACTTCCCACAGCCCTGCCAGGACTGCTCAGGCCCGTGGTGTCCCTCTACACCAGGGAGCTCCAGGGCAGCCCAGGGATAATGTGTGAGTGGGGGCTTTCCTCCCCCACCTCCATTATTTGGTCTTTCCTAAGTCCAGATGGCAAATGTTGCTCATTACCACCGTCAGTCCTCAGGCACTTGGAGCTGCTGCCAAAGTGAAACCTCTCACCAGGGCCTGGGTGTAATTAACCCCTGATCCCTTCCTGTAAAAGGGCTGGCTGATGGCTTCCCAGGCAACAGCTGGTGGTGGGGAGGACACGTGGTCCCCCAGGCTAAGCAGCAGATGATGTACAAACACACTGGGGACACTGACATGACAGTGTAGAGTGAAGAATGAGCCCACAAGCAGGGAAACATCCAGCTCAGTCCCATCATCTCCAACCTATGGATGGTAAGGAATGTTTACAAGTAAATTCCTTCTGGTTTTAAAACACACATTTTTCTAGATGCTTCTCTCTGTTCTGTGCTGCTGTTCTGCTGTGATCAGAGCCCAGCAGTTAACCAAGAACCCAGTAGGGCAGGACTGGTTCTACCTAGATGATAACAGAGCTCTGTGCAGCTGGGAATTTGTGTCTGCAGGAAGGGATGAACTGCCTTTTCCAGTCTCAGTCTGTCTTACCCTGATCTTCCTAGAAGGAGCAGATTTGTTCAGACTCAGGCAGCAAAGTAAGGTGAGGCATACTGATGGGATGGGACAGTACCTCTGCCCCTCACAAAGGCTGTCAGTAGCTCTCTCATTACTTGCTGGTATTTGAAAATTGGTAGAGGGGAAACATCATCATCCCTCCTTGATGTCACAGGTGGCAAATAGAAGATGACATCTCAGCCATTGTCTTCCCGAGACAAGTGCTATAATCACAGCCTCTGCCTCAAAATTACTGGTTTTTTTTCCACGGTCCTGGTTCCTTATGCAAATGACTGTAGGAAAAAGCCCAATACAATTTTGCATGGCTGAACACTGCGATGCTGCTGATCTCTTACCTCCTTGGCAAATCTCTGCATCGTTTCCAAGTTCTCTGCCTTTAATGCCCTTAGATCATCCAGTTCTTCATCTTTTGCAACAGTGTCTTTTTTATACTTCTCCATCCAGTACTCCAGTTTCTCTTTCACCTTCTGCATGGGGAGAGAGTGGTGCTCAGCATGGTGCCAAGAGTGCACGGAGGTTTGCTACTATTATATGGCCTGCTTTCATTATGATGGTGAGAGTCCTGTAAACTGTGCATGGTCAGTGTTTCCTTCTCATTTTGAAAGGATCAAACCCCTAAGACTACTCATAAATTATGGCAGGGCTAGTTCTGTGCAGTCAGTCCTGATGAAGCAAGTGACAGCCAGAAGCCATTCTTTGTGTGTATACAGAAGGAGGGGGCATTAAAAAGCACAATTTGTCAGTGGGAGAGCTTTTATCCTCTGCCTGAATCCCTACCCACTTTCTGGATTAAGCTCAGCACACCAGGAATAAGGTCTCAGGGGACAGCACTTCACGCTATTTCAGGTTGTGAACTTGGCTTTGTGTTCATGAATAGGGCAGGTGTTTCTGAAACAGTCACCCAGATGACTTCCTCCTATTCACCAATAACTTTTCCATAGCAACCACTGTGATTGCTTCCATGGAAAAATAATCTGAGGAAAAGCATCAATCTCATTATGGCATCACAGCTGGACACAAAAGGGGGATGGAGGGAATGGTCATCCTCCTGTCTGGGGGCCCCTGCAAAGCCACCAGCTGCTGTCTGAGCACTGAGGGGCTGCTGCTGGCCCGGCTGCTGGAGGCCAGCCAGGCTCAGTATGTACTTAGGCAGTCCCCTTGCTGGAGGCATTGATCAGACCAAAGCTCTGGGGTGCAGAGCACACTGTTCAGTTGCTCCCATGATACAGCACTGGTTTGCACTCAAATTATTACATTTTTAAAAAGCTATTATTTCCTATTAAATTCTATACTGGCAGTGGCATCAGGTACCCTGCAGTAGTCCAGGTTTTCTTCCCATCATACCATTTATGAGAGGCTTTGCAGTGTTATTCAGAGTAAAGTTATTCACTGTTAATGATAGGAATGCTCTGAACGTCTGAATCAACACCACAAGGGTAGTCATGCTGCTGAAAATGTGTACAGTAGTTGTGGGTTAGCAATGATCCAACCCCAGTTCTTCCTCAGATAAAGCTGATCAGCCTTTTGGCCAACTGGACCGGCAGTTTGTGTCATTCCCTCCTCAGTGTCCCTCCCCTCTGCTCAGCCCTTGGGTCTCTGAAGCTGCTGCCCTTACTTTGAGCTCTTCACTGTGCTGCTGGGAGCCCCAGTAACTGCCAAGGAGGACCTAAATAAAGTCCAATTAGCCAAATGCAACTATCTGAGAGAGGAAAAATCCATACCACCTGAATAAACAATGTTATTAATTACATGAACCCTAATTTTAAGGATATATATATATATATATATATGTAGCAAATCCCAAGCCTGGGAGAGCTGACTTAATTAAGATTTGAGGACAAGTAATCATTCATACTGCGGCAGTCATTAACCTGGTATATTTGATGGAGCAATTACTGGTTACCTTTAGGCACTAATCAATGATATGGTGTTTATAGGTTGCTATTTTAAGCAATAGCTGACAATCACACATACCTCATACTGTTGTGTGAGGAAATTATCAGTCTCCATATGGAGGTGAATCTCCTCATCAATTTTGCTCTTCAAATTCTGTGATCAGAGCAGACAGAACATGTGTGAGACAATGTTGGAGTGTATGTGTGTGCACACACTGCTGCTGAAAGCTGAATAAAAATGCTGGAGTTCTGTGTAGTCCACAGACATTTTTTCCAGTGATAAAATCAGCCGAGGCAGTCCCTGCTCCTGGACTATCCATGAAAAAGAAACAATTAGATCAGACCTTGATCAGTCAAAGAAAGATGCTTGCAAAACCAGAACAGTCTTCTCGTCCAGTTCACCTTAGAGCCACATAAGCAGCTCTATCTGTATAATCTGCTGGGAGCTCAGATTGCTAATACCTTTGTAACCACCCCTTTGGATATACTTCTGGGTCTGGTTTTCTGATCATGGCATTACTTTAAGCATTCCCTGTCTCCTAAAGCCATGCCATCCTTGTTGTTGCTGTTTGCAGCTTCATACAGAGAAACAATAGAAGAGGTAAAGGTTTCTAACCCAAATGAGTTTCCTGATCCAGTTCAAACAGCTGTGCTGGTGACTCTAATGCAGAACAAAGAGGGCATCTGAGGAGTGAGGGAGGGCTCTTCCCTTTCTAGATGGAGATGCCTTCCAGTATGGGCCACAGGGAAAGGCTTACCTGGATTTCCTTCTCCAGGGCATCCTCTGCACTGCTGCACTTTTTCTGGGTCAGTTGGATCTGGAGATCCATGTTTTTCTTCATGTAGTTACTCTCTGTGTTCAATTTGGCCGTCATCTCTTGAAGCTTATCCTTGATGTGATCAATAACCTTATCTCGGTTCTAGTGGAGACAAAAGCAGCACAAAAGCAAGCCTGGAGACTGAGGTCAGCTCACCATTTCTTAATCTCTCCACTCCCTGATAAGGTCAGAAGAGACAAAGCTATAGGCTTCACTTTCCTTGAATGTTGCTCCATTTCAAGGAAGCATTTCAAAGGTTAGTTTGATCTGTAACCCATAGAGACAGCAATAAACCCATCAGCAAGGAGTGATTGCCTCTGGAGAGGGCAGAGTGAGGGACAGAGGGGGACAAGGCAGGCCTGCTCTCTGGTCAAGAAATTCATTCAGTCACACTTAGGATAAATATTAAAAAAAACAAAGAATTTTAACCACTTGAAGTTAGGTTTTACTTTTACTAACATCTTGCATTAGACTATCTCAGTGAGGGAGCATCTGTAAAGGAGGATAATGTATCAGCCCCACAAAAGCCAAAGTTTGTTTTAATAAAGCATACTCTATTCCTTGGATTTATTGTTTTTCTAGTTATGCAGCAACTGTATAAACACAGCCTTAGGAACAGGTGCAAATCTAATCCTGACTTGCTAATATTTTCAAACAGTTCTTTCTTGAAATCTTACCAGGTAGATGGTGCTCACTTCATTATGAAAACATACACCCAGGGCAAGGAAGCAGTGTCAAGGAAAAGCTGGCTATGAGGTCCCAGCCTCTCCCCATGCCTTGCTTTACAATGGAGCTGAGCTTTCCTGGGGCAGAAAACTCAGTTTTCTGTTCCCTAGAGTAGTCCCATAGGCCAGAATCCTGAGTGGTTTGTCCAGCTTCTGGTGCATGCTCAGGAAGCAAAGTGCATTTGCTTGATTTGGGATTGCTGTTTTGTTTACTTATTTTTAATTAATTTATTTGAATAACAGATAAAGATGCATTACCCTGGGGTTGGAACTTGGGACAAATGCCTCTAAAATGAAGAGTTTTTTACCAAGTTAAAAGGTCATCAAAGCTTCCTGTGTAATTATGCAAGATCAGTGTGAATGTACCCAACTGCTCCATTACAGCCTTTCTCTTTGCTTCCCTGACATGCTGTGGTGGGTTTGATATTCATCAGCCAAACCTCTGAAGATGAAATACCAAAGTGCTGGCATTTTTTGAAGCCCACATATCTTGTCTCTGAAGCACCTCACATTCCTTAGCTGTGTAAACATGGAAAAATGTCACAGGAGGAAGCCAGCTCAATAGTGCTGTGTTTTTAAGCCTTTGCAGCCTGACTCATTTGGAAAAGGTCCTTATAAGAACAGCTGGGAACAGTTAAAAGGAAAATCCTTCCTTCTGCACCCCTTGTCATACATAGGAAGAGTAAATTTATGAGGCTCAGGATAATTGGGGCCTTGGCTGATGCTGTCTTGTGGGTTCAAAGGTGTTCACATGTTGTTGAAGGTTTCAAAACCAGATACTATTTTTTTTTTATGGTTATATCATCATATGACTGCAGACAGCTACAGACATGAGCTGTTTGTGCCTTATTAGGGTTTCTGGTCATGGCCTTTATTTTCCCTGGCATGGAATTTTGGTGGCCATTGGGAGGAGCTCTGTTCCTGGTCAGTAGACAGGGGATGTGAGTGTACGACTCTATTTTGAGATTGTCTTCCTGTGTCATAGTGTCACATAATCATGTCTAAATTGAAGAACCAGCAGAGAGACTGAGATGCTAATTAAAACAAAGCAAACCCACAACTTTTTGTGGTGCTGTGGCTCAGGAAAGTCAAACACTGCTGATGTCAGTGTGTTACTGCTATCTGCTTAAGATCTGCAAACTGGCCAGAAAATAAAGGTTCAGCCTAGGTTACAAGGTACTCAGAGAGTTGGAGCAGAGCATGAACTTCTCACCAGGTTATTTTCTTTTCCATTTCACATTTTAGTAAAAAAAAAAGTGCTTTTGATTTGAGTGCCCAAGGCCTCAGCTGGGATGGGTGCCCATCTGCTCAGTTTTCTCTGTTGAATGGCATGTATGTGGTTTGGATTTGGTCTGTGGTGTTGTAAAACATCCTGGTTAGAGGTGGGGAGTCTGGGGGCTTGGTTACACAATCCAAAGCAGACAGGAAGTGAAATACAAAACCCGCTGCTGGTTTACAGCAGCCTCTGCCTGGCCAGGGAAAGCCAGCAGAACGCAAGGGCAGCTCCTGCTGCAGGACCTGGTGCTGCAGAGCTGGGGCACGTTTGGGATGGGATTTAGCTGAAGGTAGTAAATGCAGCAGTAAGTGCCCACAAGATGTGGGTACCATCTGCAGAGTGTGCTGTTCCCTGAACTTAAGGGACAGTAACTGGGAAAATGAGTTAGTATTTATTTGTTCTGGTTTATCATAGCAAAGGTCCATGCCAGAACACAGAATGCTTTCATAGCTGATGCAGTAAATTTCAGGGCTGCTTGTTTGGGATGACTTCAGCATCAAATCTGCCAAACGAAATCATCCCTCATATCCAAAACGATCAGTAAACTGGCAGAGACCAAGATCAAAACCCAGGAAATAGTTGTCAGGAGCCAGTCTGCTTCACAAGCAGGTAAACAAGCTGATCTCTCAGCTTACAGACATCAGCTGAGGGGCCTGCCTGTTGTCACCTGGTACCACAGGATTCTTCCCTGCAGATGCTGTTTGGCTGCAAAAGCAGCTGCACTTAGCTGGAGACCTTATCCACGCTCCTGTGTTTTCATTTACTTTGATTTATCTCTCTTGTAAGTGCCACCAAGATCTCCCAGCTCTTCCACAGCAATTAGTGTTTACAGTCATAAAATACAGCTGGTTACAAAAACAGCCCACAGGAGTAAACAGTCTGAGGAATTCTCCAGCAGAACCATGCTGCCCATTTGGCAGGGAAAGGAGTGCTGTGCTCTGTGCTGACAGAGGGCCCTGCTCTGCCTTGCTCCCACAGTGAGTGCTCAGAGCTCAAGGCTCTTCCTGGCAGCTGTGGCATCTCAGCTTGCAGGGCCTGGAGATGTGCTTGGATCCACACGCCTGCTGCAGCCTGGGCTCGCTCCCCTGAAACCACAACAGGCAGCCCTGCAGGCATTTCAATAAGGCTTTGCCTGCACCACTGTCCCAGCTCCAGAACACCCTCAAGGAATGTCTGTGCCCAAGGGACAGCAGGGCTGGCTGTCACCTGGCGTTGACAGAATGGCTCCTGCAGCCCTTGGCCAGCACAATGCTGATGCCAGCAGCTGCAGGAGAGCCCCAGGAGGGGCAGTTTGCTGGCAGAGGGGGCAGACCTGTTGGCAACATCACTCCTGTGGAAAATCCTGCCCCGCTGGAGACAGGTTTGGATCTAGTGCACCAGCTCCACGTCCTACAGTGCTCCTTGGGGCTCTGCCACCAGTGAAGGACCATCACAAACCTTGTGCCTTTTACTGTATCTCTAGTAGAAACATGCACCAGTGGGTGTGTACATGTGTTTAAAACATTCCACAGAACACTCCATTGATGCATTTGTCCTCCTGGGAGAGGAAAAGAGAAGAAACATGGTGGGTTTTAATCTTACTTCTAAAAGCATGACTGAGTGATGCACTGATACAGTGGATCTGGGTGTGTTATGACAACTGACAATTAAAGTTACAGACCTGTTTTCACTGGTACTGTGGTGCAATGGCTTGGATTTCTGTCTGGTAGCTGTAATATTACTGCTTATTATAAAATTACACCACTACCTGCACACATGTATGACATGAGTACACCACAAAACCTACAGGACATAAAAAGTCTTCAGATGAAGAGCAATGCATGAATTTTACAATGCATTTTACATTCCTAAATTTTTATGTTAAGCCATATAATCCTATATGATATTAATCCACTTCAAAACCCACACAGACTGCTGTTACTTGTCCAGGAAACCAGAGAAAGTATTTTTATAGAAACTAGAAAATGAACACTGCAGCAGCAAACAGACCCCCTGCAGCCAAACCTGAGCTCCCAGTGCTGCTCCTGCATAGAGAGGTAAGAGCAAAACCAGATGCACTATTTCAGCTCCTTTAGAGACATCAGTGCTTTCCAAGAGAAAACAAAATAGAGGAACAAATTTAGCATTTGATTTGTGTTCCATTAGAAAGAAAAATTAGCTGAGCAGGCTAATACACTATTAATTAGTATTTTATTAAGAGGTAGAAAGGCTGAAAATACAAATTCACAGCAACATGAATGAGACAAAAGCCGTGTTTTTCTGGTTCTAGGATTAGATTTGCTCGCTTTTGTTTTCTCAGCCATGTAGGCTTTTGTCTACAGGTCTGTGCATTATTATTGTTGTTCAAAGTACTCCAAAGTCAGCGAAGCTGTATTTTTATTTTTAATTAGTTGGCAAGGTGACAAATCATGCAAGTGTCTGTAAAACTGCCTATGGGAAAATCCCATATGAAGCAAATAGAAATTATTCTCCCTTGGGAGACACAGTGAGACACCATTATTTTTGGCACAGGAGGAAAGCAGTACTTTAAAGTAGTCTTGTCTTTGATTTGTTATCAAAGCCGAAACTATAAGGAAGCTCAGAAAAGGACTTTTAAGCTTGAAATATTAAAAGAAAAAAATCACAGATGACTGCAAATCCCACTTGATGAGGCAAAACCCAAAAACTGAATTAGCACTGAAAGGACAAAAAGAAGAGACCCCTCTCAGCATGGGAGCTACACACATTTTTATGACTGCAGGAGGTAGGAGAGGTGCAGGGCAGGACACAGAGAAGTGGCCTTCTGACTGTGGAGTGCCAGGACATTGCTGCTGGTAGAAGACAGGATGATTACAGCCCCTGGGAAGGAAATAAACCAGGACTGGGTCCATATATTGTGTGCACAGACATGGTGAGGTTTGAAGAGCACTACACAGATGGAGAACTACCTCATCATTCACCAGCCTGGGAAAGCAGGAACTTCCCAGGAGCCATCAGAGTCTGACTGAGAAGGGACAATATGAGAAGCAAATAGGTCCCTTGTGTTTTTAAAACTGTCCTGTATTTACAATTAAACTTTCCACTGCACGTGCATCCAGGCTGCCAACACAAAACCTTTGTGTTCTACAAACCAAACTTCACCAGCATGTCTGGGGCTTAAAATTTCTCACAGCTATATCCTGATTTAATTAGTGTCCACACTTTCGTCCAAAGACAAAACTCAGTGACACCAATTCTTTCCTCAGATGCCCTTGCTCTCCTCTTGCTCACTACTGAACCAAGTGTCAGATTCTTGTTCCTTCCCCCAGCCCCTGTACAGCTTTGCCCCAGCTTGCCTTCTGCTTGTTTGCTATCACACATCTCCTGCCTCAGCAGGGCCAGGCTACATTTCCATGTTGAATGAGCATCAAGTCTGAGCTGTCTGGTGAGCATCAAAGTGACCAGTGATAAGCCATTCAATTGATTTGCACTTGTGTAGCAAGTCTGACATTTCCAGAATGCCCCATATTTACTCTGCATGCACACACCCTTTGCATGATGCAGACAGAAGGGCTGAAGCTTTTCAGAAAGATTAAGTTGACAGCATATGTGCAATAACATTGATCTGCCCTTGTGTAGGCATGTTTGGGATTTTCTGATGTCTGGAAGCCTAGAAAAAATAGATTAATAGAATAACACTTTCCCCAGATGAAAATGTAAGTAGAAAAACAGCCTGCCCCTATGATAGGTTTCTGTCCTTCTTGCTCCCTTTGGCACACTTCCTTCTGTGCCAAATGATCTGCCATGACTGAGTATGACAGAACCTTAGATACTGTTATCTGCAGATAACCTCTTTCTTACTGATTGCAGGTATCTGTGCTTTGTCACTCCCAGCAGAGTTTTTGGGATATTCTAATTTGACCACAGTTTCTCATGATTATGAGCATTTTGAGCTCCCATTTGAAAACTATCAGACACTGCTCTTGAACTCATTAGTAGGCTTATTCCAAATACAAATCTTTATTGTAATTATTCTACTTCTGTACTCCTAAGTGGTGGCTCATTGTGTATGACCATGGCCTCTCTGAGTGCTAGTTCCTGGGCAGCAGAGGCCAGCTTCCTAACAGGCTTCCCCCTGGCAAGATGCCCAGTGCTAAGTGCTCTCACCTGAAGGTCATTATCAGTTTGTTTCTTGACATCTTGCAGCTGTTTCTGGAGTGCCTTTATCTCCTTCTTTCCTTTTTCCTCCCTAAAGTGGGAAAATACAATTACTTGGATGTATCAAAAAAGACAAGAGCTGTTTACCTAGAAGGAGAACTTCCTGTCTCCTGATACAGTGTGGTAAGTTAAACAGAGTTCTCACCAAAACTATTGACTTGGTTAGTAAATCCTGAAAGAAGAGGTGCACAGACTGAGCAAGGCAGATGGGAACAAAAGGGAGAACAAGCCAAAAAAACAGGGGATGCTCTTGTTGAAAGCCTGGAATGAATTCGAGGACGATGCGGTTACTATAGTGGAGAGGGAAGATGCCTGTCATTGAGTCACAGTTTCTAGACTTAGGCAAAAATGCCCGTGAATCTATGCAGAAGCAAGCCTGAGCAGCAAAGAGTGCCAAATTGTGTTATGTGTATGAGAATGTTGTTTCTTTCATATCAGACCTAAAATCTTCCAAAGAACACCGTCCCAGGTTCTGAGATCCATGAAGTGATCTGAGTGAAGACCAAAAGCTAGAGAAGCATTCATCTGTCTAAAACAAAACAGATGTAGTAAATATTCTAGGTATTATTATCTTATTTCATTCAGAGTGCTTCTCTAAGCTTTTATGCTTATGATTAGTTTTAAACCCAGTAAATACTACAGTTGGCCCCTGAAACTTTGTATCCTATCCCAACCTTACAATCACACATGCATTTCATTTTCAGAGTCCTTATCTGGGTGAATGATGAACAAAAGCTTCTGATAAGGAGTCCCTGTCATCTCACTGCATATGTCTTTCAGAACAGTGTATTTACACAAGACCAGGGAAGTATTTATTATCTTGTAAGAAGATCAAGTTCATTCCATGAAAAGAATGTATAGTACAACATGGCTAGATATGATTGACAGAAGGGGATAAAAAGGATTATGTCCTTTCTGATTATAGTTTGTCTGCTCTTTTCTACCTTTCAGTATTGGATAGTTACTCCACAGCCAATTGCTAATCTCATTCTTGCTTTCTGTCCTTTCCATTGATAAACAATAAATCCCTTGGTTTTAGGCAGTGGAAGAGTTGGGTTTCATGCTTGAAGTCACACATTCCACTGAAGCTGGGGATTTGCCCTGGAGGCAGATCCCTGAGCAGCCAGGGGCTGTTCCAGTAGGTTGGACTCCTGACAAATCATGACTGAGAGTAGCTTTGCTGTGCACCCTCAATGATGGGCCCAAGCTGCTACACGGAGGTAAAGTGATCAAATATTTGTCTGATGACTGAAATTCTCTCTGACAGTCTTGGGACTGAACCAGATCTTTGCATGCTAAAAAAACCACCAAACCTCTAGAGCTCAAAAGTTTGAGATAAAAATTCACCAGTTTGAGATGATAACAAATGTGTACCCTGAAAGATTTGGGACAGGAGAGAATCACAGCACAGTGGCTGGTGGATTAGACTTAAATAAGACATCTCTGTCACCATCTGTGCTAACCCCTCACTGCTGCTGGGAACAGGGAGCCTATTAGCATATGGGTCAGAGCAGAATCTCCTGGGCATCAGACAACCTAAAAGCCATATGTTACTGGCCCTGATTTGAACAGATTCTCTGCTGCTCTGGATTTCACTGGGGACAGGAGTAAAAGATCAAGGAACTCCTACACACATTATGTTTAAATTGAAATGAGGCATTTGTACTCATTCAGCCACTGGTGTCCACCATGGTCAAAGCTCAGGCAATTCCTAGATCAGTATCAGACCCATCCACTGTTTCTTTCTGAAGTGGAAAAATTGCAGTTTGCAAAGCAAACAAAATAATTAAAGTTTTAAAAAGTATCCTTTCTGTATTTTGGTTTTATTTGGTGTTATTTTCTTTTCAGCATGTACTGAGTGGGGATGGCTTGCAGCATTTAAACAGGGAAGAACTGAACACAACACTGACCTGATAAGGATGTCAAAAAACTTGTTCTTTTTTGCCTTCTCTCTCTCATTAGCATCTGTTAGGCTACTAAATGTTCCCAATTCCTCCATCTTTTTAATAGTGAGTGTAATTACATTACTTGCATACTGCCTGCCAGGAAAAAAAAAGGAACACAACAATATTTTACAGGTGCTGGTAGTACAGTGTCTGACAGTTTTATCCATTACTGTTTACAGTAAAATGTAAGGAAATAAAAGATCCCTTTTCTGGTTTTATCAAACCCAGAAGTGCTTCTCCCATGGTATGCTTATTGTATGTCTGGAGAACTCAATATTAGGAGTTGGTTGAAGTTTATAATTTAAAAATCTGTCCTGCATACTACTCGGGGAAGTTGCAAAAAGGCACAAACATATCCGTGCTTGGATAATGTGTTGCCATTAAGAAAGCTGCTGGCCTGCAGTAGTGATGACAGGTGGACCTTAGAAAATGAGACCTGGTGATGCTACACATGGGCTTGTCCAGTTTATTGAATGTCATGATGCATGTGGCATTTACATTTTAGCTGCATTTCCCTCATTTGTGTTAGAATCTTCTTTAAACCCATTGTTGAAATGATATTAAATGACTGAAGCCATAATGCAGAAAAATGCATACTGAGCATTCAGCTCTATAATCTCTGTCAAACCAAAGGCTGCTGGTATTTCTGCAAATCAGGGCATTGGTTTAGGTGCAGGAATAAAATTTGTTTCAAAAAAGAAAGAAAATTTTTAGTCTTTATATAGATTACCTTTTCTATAATGGCTATAACTGCCACAGAAGCTCTGTGTGCCCTGCAGAATGACTGAGTTCAAAAACAAGGTTCCAATCTCCCTTTGCAAGTGGGATCTGCTAAAGGAACCTGACTCCAGGTATCAGAACATGAGCACTGATTAGTGCCTGGTATGATTTCTACCCAGGCAACCATTATCAATGGGGTAATGTTTTACAGCTCCGTTCAAAATAAACTGCTGGTCATTAGGTAGCATCCAGAGACAAGCAAAGGCTGGAACAAAATTGTCTATGAAGGATACCACTGCTGTCCTTAGAGGAACTCCTTCCAGATAGAGATTGATGTAGTCTGGAAGTGGGAGAGTGAGGAATTTGTATTTTTGCTTTCAAGAGGTAGACTGAGAACTTTACAGCTCTGAGCATCCCTCATAGGTGCTTTACTCACCTGTCAGCATAAACTTTTTTGAGCCTCTGTGCAGCCCGAGTGGTGCATTTCTTGGGCCTTTTGGAAGAATGGCGAGTGCTTTTTTGATCTTCAGTTTCCTCCTGCTGCTGCTTGTGTTCGGTGTTTTTCAGGGTCGTGGAGGTAGCTGTTTCCCCACTCTCTTGCTTTGCTGACATAAGCTCTGAGGGTTTATTATCCAGTTCCTTCTGGACCATTTCTTTCATTTCCTGGATGGGAATGAAAGGGTATAAGGGAAATAAGAGAATAAGGAAAGAGGGAAAAGGGAATAAGAGAGACCTGCTTGCATTGCACAGCAGAACTAAGCCCTCTGCAACATTATGTGAGAGGAAGGAAAATCAGTAATAAACTGGAATGAGGTTATACTGAGAGCAGCTGATAGTGCATGTTACATTCTGCAAAGAGTGGAAGATCAGAAACATTTATGTTGGTTAGTTTTGAGCACACAGTGTAGCTCATTCAAGCTTATGGGCTCAAAAGTCCTAAAGTGACAGGACTAGAAAAGGCCAAAAAAGGTGAATTCATCCACTCCAAGAGATGATGGTTCACACTGTTCTTAATCTGACATGTTCTTAATGGCCTCCAGCAGTGGAGACTACACACCCTCCTGTCAGTGCCAGCACCTCACAACTTTCTTTACCATAAGAAAGTTTTTTTCTCCTCAACAGCATTTGAATCCCTGGCTTGTTGTCCTGGTCTCTGTAGGCACAGAGAACAAGTTGTTCCCTCCTTTTTTGCAGCAGTTTTTACAAACTGGAAGACTGTTAGCCTGTTTCTCCTCCTTCTCTTCTTAGATATTTCCCACTGGCTGTCTCCACAACCTTTCCCTACAATATTATTGGTATAACTAGAGCTGTGTGGAAATAAAGGTGATAGACTTTCTGTCTGCTATCTGCTTAGCAGGTTTTTTTGAGAGAGTAATAGCAGAGGAAATATAACATGAATTCAAAGGAAAAATTCAAAATACTGGCAGCTCTCTCTTTCATGGAAAGGTATATTGTGATTGAGTGCAATTTCATTAAAAAAAGAAAAGCCTCCAAAAATGCAAAAGCACACTATAAAATCAGCTAAGCTCTTGCTTCTAGGAAATTCTCTGCTTCATGTGTTATGGATAAAATGCAGGTGTATATACTGGAACATTAAAAGAGAACATTTTCTTGCCTGCCTACCAGCATTTCTGTGGCTGAACACTTCATAACAGCACTGCTGACTGCAGCTAACACAGCCTCTGCCAGCCCCATCCCTGTCTGCAGCTGCCTGCTCCCCACCCTGGCTGCTTGGGGAAGTGGACAGAGAACTCACTGTGATTAAACATTTTCCAGCTAAAAGAAAAAATAAAAAAAACCCAAAAAGTTATTTTTAGCAGCACCAGTTCTCAGTCCAGATTCTTCCACAACCACACACACATTTGTGCCAGCAGAGCAGAGAGGGCAGAGTTAAAACAAGTGGTCAGGGCAGCAGCTGTGGATGCCAGGAGTACTTCCAAAAAGTTACTTGTCAGGCACGTCAAGCAAGGCTCTGTCAGAGGTCTGATGTGCTGCTGCAGTCTGTGAGGACACTGCAAGGGACTGCCTCATGCTGAGTGTTTTGGACAACTCTGGACTGGGATGGATCAGCCTCTGGCAGTGCCTGACTCACCAGTGACTAGAGAAGAAGGCTAAGTGACTACGTGCTTAACTTTTGGGCCGTTAAATTTACGTTAAATGAATCACATGCAAAGCATACACAGACCAATGAAAATTGCATTGTTAATTAGTAAAAAAGGCTTAAATAGCTGGTAGGTGACAACTGTACTTCAGAAAGAACTAATTTTGGCAATGTAGATTTTATGAATGTTCTGATACATGTTTTTTAATGTCTGGGAAAGTTCAGCCCAGGCAATAACTGGGTTGTCTGTGAACAGTTGGGACTTACACACTAATAATCAACAAATAACTGTGTAAAAGCAATAAGTTCGTAAACTGCATGTGTTACCATCTGTGTAGTCTCCTAAGTGCTTGTCTGTTGCCCAAAATTCAGCAAATAGAAAGGCTGCCTCCCTCTGGGGCGTGCACTGCGTGAAGCAATGTGCAAGAGCGTCCAATCTGGAAAATCAGTGAGGTGCTGGCCAACACTGTGATTAATCCTCTCAAAAATGTCATCAACTGAAATTTAGATGACAGTCTTTGAAGATACCATTGATGTGTCTGCTTGATAGAACTCCAGGGTACTTTGCAAATACAGTTCTTGTATAAATACAGTGAAAACAGCCAAATGTAAACTGAGAAACAGGGAGGAGTAGCAAATTACAGAACACCGAAATTAGCAAGTAGCTTCCCTAAGCCATTTTCTTGTTTCTTGTTTCTAAAATGTTTCCTCCTCAATTTGTTTTGACATCTTTAAGAACACAGGGTTTATAACCTGTGAGAAAGTTGTGTTCTGAGAAGTGACTTAGTGAAAAGGAGCATCTGTGATTGAAGAGAAAAGCGAAGCTGTTTTCTCTATAATTTATGTGTACCTTCAGGTCTATCAACCTGAGTCTGTGTGTCTGAAGAGGACAATTCCTGCTGTCCCAAGATATGCTCTTTCTCTGTTTTGCTGCTGGCACATGAGAGGGAGAAGCATCCTCCGGGAGCAGTTGAGGCCGGCTCCCAGGAGTCTTTCAGGGGAGCAGTGCCCTCTATGGCACAGTCTCAGCATCGTTCCTGCCCTGAAATTCACTGTAACCCCAGCTGCTGCTGCTGCGGCTTTGCCATGGGTTTTTTGAAAAGGTAATATGGAAAGGAAGCACGTAGAAAAATATTATTTAACTTCCTCTGGCATTCTTAAGTGGTACATTAGACAGAGTGAACACCATTAGATGTCAAAACTCAGATCCCAGTTTTTATTTTCATCCTGGTCATGAACTTTTTTCTTGAGCTCATCTTAAAAAGGTTTCAAACCTGCTAAAACTGGAAAGGACCTGCTGTGTCACTTACAGACCACAGTACTTAGAGCCATTTACCCCTCAGGATGGTCCCATCCTGATTCCTATGTCTAGCAGCTACCAGAAATGTCACACCACCTTCCTTCACAGCAACAAACCCTTGCCTGCGCATTAGGAATTCCCTGTTCTCCATATCTCTGCCCAACCATCTTGGCTATGATGCATATTAGAAATCAACTACTAATTAATGATCACTGAGAAAGGGTGGTTACTAATATATTTTGAAGTGCATCTTTCTTAATATATTGTGGGAACAAAAGGAACTTTGGCATGGACTTAAAGAGGAATTGAATTACCCTGGTTTTGAGTACTTTGAAATACCTATACATTTCTACTTTTGAAATAGCTCTCTATCTACCAAAGAACCTATATGTGTGTTGCTTCCTTCTCCCCAGTTCTTTGCATGTTGTGTAACCACTGAGATTTTAAAATTACAATCTCAGAAACCTCATCTTGGATCAGAAGGGTCCTTTGCACAAATTCTTGACCAAGGCTTCTCAGTGATGCTGCAGTATAAATATTAAAATTAGGTCACTTTTATTGTGTTTCTTCACCCAAGAGTCATAGAATCACAGAAAATATATTTGAGTTAATTTTTTTTTTAAATGCTGGTAAAAGCTATAAGACAAAGAAAAAACAAAGATATGATATACATCTTTTTAAGCTGTGCCACATACATGGTTGATGTCTGTCTTGTCATTGTGTGGAACCGGCATGATATATCCAATAATTGCAAGTTGATCCACACAGTTCTCCAGCACAGCACTAAACATCAGAGCTTCCAGATGAGTGATTTTTTCCATTTGTTTAGTCTGTCTGTTCTTACTAGGAGGAACAAAGATAAAAGATACCAATCAAACAAATGCTATGGTGTTAGTAATGTCAGTAACAGTAGTTTAAACTAAAGGTAGACCCGAAATAGCCTTATTTGCAGCCTTACATATACTTCCCTGGCTTTGTTTATAATCTTCCATACACTGTTTATAAGAAGAGCTGTGCTCTGCTAATGGCTGCATTCAGGGACAGTGGGAATGTTTAGCTTTCACAAAACAAAGAGGTCCTGGTCCCTCCTACAGCAGATCTGGGTAGACAGGCTGAGAAGGGAGTGGGTATGGAGGGCACAGACTGGGTGAGGTGCCTCCTTATTCAGTTCAGGGGGAGCAGTGGTTCATAGCGGACTTTGGGAAACAACAGAAGAAAGGTGCCTTTTTAAAAGGAAAAAATAAATCCATGTCCTATAAAGTCTCAGATGGTGAACCTTCATGCTCTAATCATTCCTCCATATTACTGTGTAGCCTTCACGCTTCTGTGATCCCAGTCCCCTCTCAGCAGGAACTGTTACCATCTTAAGATGCTGAAAGTTAAACAAGAACCAATACCTGGACTGAGTAAACAATCTTTAACTTTCTGTATTATTTTATTTTAACTTGCACTTCTAACATGAAACTGCTCTGACATACACTTGAGCACCCCTTTGCCTTGCCTACAGTTGGAATATTGTGAAAGCATATCTAAGGAAAAGTGAAAATTCACTAATAATCCAAAAATACCTAAGAAAACACCTGCACAACAATGGAAAACTTCTCTGAGAATTTTAATGTTTTGATATGCCATTGGACAATCCCTCCAAAACCTGTACGTACAAACCAGGTATTTATTGTACAATACGTAGCACAACTGCAGACTGAGGTTCTGAGTGTCATTGCAATGGAAGTATCAACAGCCACTAACAAAATTTTAATTTGGCTGCTCTACCTACAACTGGATTTGTGCCATCTATAAAACCCTTGCATAAACATATACTAAGCCTGCAAAATATTACAGCCCAACCTGTAAGCATGCCAAGGAAACACACCAGGCAGTCCCTGTTAGCATAAGACATGGCCATATTCTATGAAAATTAAAGAGGTTTGGATGCAGTTGTGCTGAAGCTGTTATCACTTGTTCTCTTCCTTTTTTGTTGTTTCTATTGAAGAAAATATGTAATTTACAATTGGACCATGAAGTTATTTTCACTTGGAGAAAAATAAGGGCCACTTTTCAGAGCTGGTTTATTTGATGTCTTTTAGTACAGAATAGGTAAAATAAACAAAAGTAACAGATTTCACACATTTATTTCATTATGTCCCTGTCTATTGCAGGAAGTTGTTTAATGCAACACGTGTTGGAATGTGTTGGAAGAGGGCACAGCTCTCCCTGGGGATAAGATTAGAAAGTGTGCACGGGGCAGCGACTGGAACTGCTCTCATTAAATCCATAGGAAGGGCAGATATCAGGGAAAGACAGAGGTATTTAAGTTAAAGGATAATACTGATCTGGGTCAAAGGAGAGTAATTTCCCCTAAGCCAGGCAGTTATGATAAGGTTTCTAACTCCTGAATAGATGAAAATACAGAACAGCCTTTTAGAGGCAGCAAATTTATTTCAAGAAGCTTGTTTAAATCATGACAGGAAAAGATAACAGCAAAGTAGTGATTCTGAACATTATTAATATGTTCACTATACTTGTATTTTTCATACCCACTTACCTCTAATTAATTACTCTTAGCAGGGCTTTTGATGGTCACTTAGGATGAAGAAGGAACTGATTTCAACCCTTTGCTTCTGAGATTTTTTTTCCCTCTATTTTATCTTAATTATAAAAATATGTAACAACTTGAGAGGAGTCTGATAATAGTGTTAACAAAAAAAATGGCAAATGATCTGTATAATACACTAAACCCATCACATTTCTGTTTAACCTTGGAATCAATGATAGAAGTGGAGATGCAGTATTTTCACAACAAGAAAGGCAGTGTCTCCAGTCAATAGGCACTAATAAAATAGTCTTCAATGTTTAACTCATTTTTATCTTTTTCAGAAATCCATGATTCATATTTTGAGTCTAAACAACCTAAGAATAATCTATTTATTTGGAGTCCTAATGCTAAAAATATGGTGAAAAAAGATGTGTTGGGAGATAGCTGTGACAGGTGATTACAGCAGCATTTTTGGAAGAAGAAATAACATGTGCAGCTCTCATAAGAAAAAGGGACTTATTTGGAAACAAAGGAGGATGCAACATCTTTTCCTCTTTTCCATCAGCAGCTTCTGACCAGGAGAGAATTAACTCAGGATATTAATATGTTTTAAGAAAGCTGGCAGCTGGAATATTTCTCTAAATCCCCTTTGCTGGTTTTCTCCTCATGTGTATCTTCTCTTACATCCATATCCTTGCTCAGCAGGTCCATGTCCCAAGGCAGTAGAGTCTGTGCTTGTGTTAAGTTGGAAGGAAACCACTGCCTGGGGCATTAGCAAACACTACAGATAGGAGCTGCTTGCTCTGGATTTTAGTGTCAACACAGTGCCCTCAGACCATCCACTGGCATTGCCCTGCATTGTTGTGTTTGCTGAACTCCCTCATTAAACTCTTATTAACAATATTATTTTTTTTTTTAAATGGAGTATGTGAAAGATTCAGCTTTCCCCATGAGTTTTGGATGACATTCTTTCCCTGCTGATCTAAAGGGAAAGAAAAACATATCAAGTAATAATTTTTAAAACAACTGTATAAAAGGTCTGGCCTCCTGTTCCTTTGGGGATTGCAACTCCCTCTGCTGTGTGAGAGTTCTTGATGTACATTTCTCCCACCCTGCTGCCTGAGAAATGAACATGGATTTAAGAGCAGCATTTTGTTCAGCATTCCTTGTAGTCAAGCAAAGAGACTCCAGTGAATTCCAGTGAGAAAATGCATAGCTGAGAATGTTACATCTCCTTTCACTCAGTTTGGCAAATGATTGGCAAAGAGATTCTGAATATCCACAGGAGCAGCAACTGAGCCAGAAATCACAAGTAACTTGATTTTTACCAAATAAAGGTCTCTTGGAATGCAAAATAGGTGTGGCCTTACCTTACACAGCTCTGCCTCCTACTAGAAATATTAGGATAGCAAGATGCTCATTTTGAAAAATAAAAAGGGGAAGAGGAAGGGCAAGGAAAGGGAAGGAATGGAGAGAGGAAAGGGAAGAAAGGGATGGGAAGAGAAGGAAAGGGAAAGAGAAAAGGACCATCAAGGTTCCTCAAGGTTTCCCTTCCCCTAAATCACTTCAAGTGCTCAGAAAATGCACCTGAGTTTCTGGCAGTGTGAGGGAAGTGACAGAAATCGGGAGTGAATAACCCTGACGTGAGCACACGGGTTAAGTACATGCTTCCTAATCATATTTAGGAAAATAAAGGAATGTGAGACTTGATTACAGGGATTTCAGTGTCGAAATATTGCTTTTGCCTGCAAGGCCATATCGGGGGTAAAATAAATGTCGAGATGATTCACTGACTCAGGGTGAGAACAGAGGACGACGAGCAGGGCCCGGAGCCCACCCCGAACACCAAGGGCTGCTCTCTCCCTTTGCGCTGCCTCTCTTCGGGGTCCTCCGCTCGTTCCACTGCCGCTGCCCGTCTTCAGCCCTGCCCAGACCAGCCCGGCCTCCCCTCAGCCTCTCACCGGGATCCGCCCTCATTTCCCCCGGTCCCGGTCCCGGTCCCCGCCCTCACCGGGATGCGCCGTCCGTCTCCATGGCAACCACCACGCTCGGGGGCCTCGCGGGGTTGTCCGGTTGGTGCCTGCGCAGCGGGGGTGGGGCCGCCCTTCCCGGGATCGCTCTTGCGGGGTTCGCCCCCGGGGAACGCGGGGACGAGACTCGGGGACAGGACGGGCGGCACGGGCCCGCTGGAGCACTTTCATCAAATCGGCGCTGCTCACTCAGGCAGAGCTCGAGCCGCCCGCTCGGGTCCTGGCGGCGCGTTTCCCGGCAGGCAGCGGGGCGCGGGTCTTTTTCGCCGCCATCTTGGGGCGCTGGGGGTGAGGCGGAGCAGGGCCCCGGGCCGGGAACGGGACTGGGGGATGCTGGCCCCGCTGTGGGGCCGCCGGCGGGCGCGGGGCTCCCGGGGCGCGGCGGGTGGCGCGGTCCAGGGCGGGGACAAGGCGGGATGGCGCCGATGCGCGGCGGATGGTCCCAGTTGCGGGTTGGGGCCCTCGGCTGGAGCGGGGCTGTGGCGGCTGCGCTCTGGGGGGGTGGAGGGTCCCGAAGCTCTGGGTGGCTCCCGGGTAGACCCCGGGTGTTCGGGGTCCCGCTCGCCGCGCCGGGCGGAGATGCTGGCCCGAGGCTCATGGCTGTGTGTCGTTTCCAGGCCTGCCGGGACCGGGTCTGCGGGAGGACACCATGACCGGGAGGTGAGTGACTGCCCGAGTGTTGTACCCCTGTTGGAACATTCCTGAGAGTGTTTGTTGGAGCAGTAGGCAATGAGCTGTGTTCCTCTGCCCAGTGTTCTGCTGGGCCCTGTTGAACGCCCACGGTTGGGTGTCCCTATTCTGAAATATCTTGAACTGGTTTTAGTTGCTGTTACGATGTACCACGCTCTCCCTGGCATGTCAGTAAATACTAGTGTAAAACATGTGGGTTTGTTAGGATAGTGTTTGTGACTCTCCAGTGTATAGTGGAGCTTTGACATACACTATTTCCTTGAGTAAAGGAAGCAACGTGGTTTTCTCATGGATAAATTTCCTGTTGTGCCACCGAATTTTCTTTAGCTTGTAGGGATTGAGTTTGTAAGTGGAGGGATTAAATCTGAATGCTCTGAAGTTACGTGCAGAAACTGTGACTGTCCCATCCCTGGAAGTGTACGAGGCCAGGCTGGATGGGACTCTGAGCAACCTGGTCTAGTGTGAGGTGTCCTCCCTGGCAGGGGAGTCAGGACTGCATGGTCGTTAATGTCCCTTCAACACAAACCATTTAATGGTTCTGTGAATCACAGCTTTATGTCTTAGT